TTTCATCCCATTCGCTGAATTTCAGAAGTCCAGCTGAATGCCAGAAGATATCTCCATTAGCTTTAAACTACTATCAATATTAAAGACTATAAAACACTCGGATTTGTCTGGAAATTCTGTTTCATGTCTCTGCTTCTCTTTATTCTGAATTAGTTTTCTTATGATACCCTAAAGAGATTGCTGGAGGACAGCTGAGAGACAAGGCACTTGTCTGCATGTGTGCTTAGTTTCTTCACTACAAACGATTGGTGTTTCGCAGCCAAACAGTTAAATAACAGGAAGAGCAGGCACTCGATTTTAAACTATTTTTGCAATAATTGCTTGGACAGAACTGGACAAACATTAGTGGGAATGTCTTCTAAATTCGTATAGGTTTTTCGTAATGCAGCAGTTGGTGGTTCATTTCTGATGAAATGCTCACTGTAAGTTGGTTGAGTAGCACTGTGGTCAGCTTGGGACAGTTCAGAGAACTGCCATTCAATACAGCAATTGTCTGTCACTGCTGCTGGAACAAATTTAAATATGCAATGTTTAGTGACACTTTAACTTCACCTTTATGATGCATTCATAAAACATTCAGTGCGCCTTCATAATGGTTTTATAATGCATTTGTACATCATTCAGTGTACCTTCATAATGCATTCATAGAACATTTTTAACATCCTAACATGCCTCTATACCTTAACAAACATAATTGTATAATCATATAATGTTTGTTATTGTATATAGCTGATATTGCATATAAAGCTGATAGGATGTTAAGGTATACTTACATGATGCTTATGAATGAATGAAAATGTTATGAAGGTACACTGAATGTTCTATTTATGCATAATGAATGGATTATGAAGGTATGGTTAATGTAAAGCCACGTGTGATAGATTTCCTCTCGTTTAGGACATTTTTAGAATAGGATTCTGCATTTTATGAGCCAGATGGCTTTGAACTTCAACATTTTATCTACTCCTAAAATAATTTTGTGTTATTTGGGAATTGCGTTTGCTAAATCAGTATTTTTTTATTAGCAATTCAAAGGATTTGATGGCTGCTGTAATACCCATAATTGGGAAGTTTGAGTTGCAGCCGCATGTTTTCCATGTGCTGTGTGGCTTGCCTTCCTCCACCCAAGGCATCTCTGAATCACTTATAGCGTGTGTGTACTGGCCTCCGGTGCAGGGTGTCCTCTGCCTTGGGCCATCTGCTTCCAGGGTAACACCATGCGGAACAAGGTAGAGGATGGGTGTATTTCACCATTGCAGCACATTCATTGCCGTGTGATGCGTAGCCTAATACTGACCATGTGGTGGGACTCATTTGAATTGTGTATTTGTTTCTGTGTTGGGAACATTTTGTTCCTGTTATGTTCTTAAGGGTTTATAAATGTTCTGTCTCTCCAAGGCTTAAGTGTGAGATATAAAATAATCAGCTTCATCACACATATGCCAGGCCTAAATATACTACAAACATCTGTCTTAAGATAATGTTTTACTCTGTGCCCACGCAGTGCCCACCAGAATGGTTGGCACTCTTAGTAAATAAAAGCAAAATGGGCTGTGAAAAGTAAAATAAAGGAATAATACCATAAAATTAACATGTTTTCTCAAATATATGTGTGGCACAATTATTGGCACCCCTAGAATGTCACATGAGTAAAATCAAACTGAAGTATATTCCCAATCATATTTTACATTTTTATGCTCATCTGAGTGATTAGGAACACTTAAGTGGTCAGTCATGACTTTGTGTTTCCCTGGGGTAGAAATATGAGGTGACGCACAGGCCAAATTTCCTTAATCCTAAACCACAATGGGAAAGACCAGAGAACACAACAGTGATGTGTGATGATGCAAATCAGGCTATAAAAATATTACTAAACAACTGGAGATGTTAAGAATCAGCCTGGATCAGTATAGACACTCCCTGCACAGAGAGGAGGGTGGTAGGAGTGGCCAAAGAATCTCAAATAATCACAGCTGGAGAATTGCAGATGGTACTTGTGTCTTGCAGTCAGAAACTCTCCAAAACTACAATCAGATGCCACCTACATAGCCACAAGTTGTTTGGGAGGGTTTGCCAGAGAACAGTCTGTGCTGACATCAAAGAAAGTCAAGCAGCTACAGTTTGGCAAACATTCCTGGAACTGTGGTCAGATGAGATGAAAACAGCTTTTCAGTAACAAATTCCAGAGGCAGGTCTGATGTAGACATGATGATAGGCATGGAGAAAATGACACCACTGTGCTGCTCGATCTTCGATGCTGTGGTGCTGGTTTTCTGCCCTAGGCTCATGTCACCATGGGCTCCAACAAGTATGGGGAGATGTTATCTCAATACCCAACTTCCTCCGCCAGGAAGCTTGTATTGGCTGCAGTTGGACATTCCATCAGGATGACAACCCAAAGCACACCTCAACGTCAATGCAAAAAAAAAATCAAGTTTTTGCCATGGCCAACCCAGTCCCCTAACTGAAAACCTCAGTTTTATAAAAAATCTGTGAATGCAATCAAAAAAGTTGCAAAAAATGCAAAAAAAAAAAAAAGTCTTGTATTTAGTTTGGTTACTTACAGTTAAGGTTAGGCCTGGGTTGGGGTTAAGGTCGTCATGAATGAGATTAGGGTTATGCCGACAGAAATGAATAGAAAGTCCCCATGAGGATATGAATACATGGACTGTGGGGGGTATATTTATGCAAAATAAGAGAATTATTCATAATTCTCCCAGCTATTAAGATATATATTTTAAAAGGTCTCTTTTAGGAATGTAATGCACCTGCTAAGCTTCAATTAAATAAGGATTAGAGAGTAATGTACTAACTGCAGTAGACAGACAAACCAAGATAATGATCAGAGGCTCCTTCCTCACATTACCCTCCTCAGTTCATTGATGATTACTTGGGAGTGAAGTGACAGCACATCGATGCGGAAGCATAGGGTGGCGGGAGGCAGAGTTGCAGAGCTGATTTATAGTGTCTTTTAAAAGGATTTGACAGGTCATATGTAGCAGCTGTCCAGCATGGTTAATAGAGTATTACACAATCCAACTATTACATTTCTGTGACATAAGTTATTCTAATACTTTTTAACATAGTCAATCACTTTCAAAATGGCTTTTCTGATAATTAGAATTATAGAGTCAGTGTGGCTACAACTCACACTGGTCCTAGAGATCATAGACAATGGCTTGGGGTTCTGTTACCCCATAATAAATTCAGCTACATTATTTGTGGCTAAATGGTATCACAAAGACAGCTAACTCAAGAATAAGAAAGGAATGAAAGATGTGCGACACAAGTGTCCATCCAGAATCCACCACGCACCAGCAGGGGGCGATACACACCACATAGGCAGCCAGTAACCATGGTTTCCTCATGTACTGCTAACAGGTCGTAGCTGCCAGCTGTTAATTTCCCCAACCGGGGGGTGGGACTGACTTCTGCAGTGCTGCTCCAAGCCTTTGTTGGAGAGCAGGTCAAGGAGAGAACAGAAAGGGTAAGCAAGTTGCCTCAGTGCCCTCAAAAATAGTCAACTTGGAGGGTGACCTACCTGAGGCTACTGCTGCTTCCTAAGCAGCCCATCTGGGCCACAGGAATCCTGCCTGCTGATTTGGGGGAGGAGGAAAAAGGTGGAGAGCACAAGTCCAGAAAGTACAAATGCAGACCAAGGTTTTGTTTCAACCAACCAGTTGAGTACTCTGTGAATGTGACTCTTTATATTCAACTGGTTGGTTGAATAGTTCTGGACCTGCACTTTTCACCTCAGGAAGAGGTGCTGTGTTGCCATAAAGTGTCCATATTCCGCTGTAATCCCCAAATAAATCTCACCTGTACAGGTGTTTTGCCTGCATCTGACATGATCTGGGTATATAAGATTCAAACAGGTCTGGATGCTGTTCAATCAAATAGTTACTTCAATATTAGATCAGATTCTTTAACTCATGGCCATAGGTGGAAATTAGTGGGAGAACATTTTAAACTGGATTTGAGAAAGCATTTCTTTACTCAGTGTGTATTTAGAGTATGAATAGTCTTCCTGTTAGTGTAGTGCAAGCTAAAACCCTGGGTTCCTTCAGAGCTGGATAAGATTTTAACAACTTTAAGCAATTAGTTGAATTCTCCCCAAATTAACTTGATGGGTCAAATGGCCTCCTCTCATTTGTAAATTTCTTATGTTCTTATAAGGAACACAAGTAAACCTGAATGTAACAAGGCACGGGCAGGGTAACCATAAAACAAGGACACAAAAGTAAAGAGATATTAACAATACTAGACACCGGGGGTTAAAATAAAACCAAAATTCAACAATGGTAGGGCTAGCCTCAAACTTATGATGAGAAGGACCCATAAGGATAAGCGGTTTGGAAATTGTATGGATGGATATCTGTCTCTGAACCACGTGCTCAGCCCTTTGAGGGAAAACACATAAGGGCGACACCAAACTGGCCAAATCGGGAAAAGGCAGAAAGACACAGGGCCAGACAGGCGACAGCTCTGACAGTTTCAGACACTGTAACTATGGCAAAGGCACAGGGGTTTAAAAGTCTAAACAATTAATGAGACACTGGTGAAAAATGGGTCTGATTAGCATTGGTGATTGTGTGGGTAAGACGGAAGCCCATGTGTCTGTCACAGGTTGTAATAAAATGGCTTAATCTTCCCAAATCTACATCACTGCCTCCAGCTATTAGATTTTATTGTTGTTAAATTTCCTTTCAATAACAAAAAACCAGTCTAGAATAATTTTTATTATATAACAGATATTGTCAACCAAAAAGGTAAATGTACCGATGATACGTGTGTTACATTTGAAGAACGTACTATACGTAATCAACTTCAAACGTTCTCTATCAGTAGCAATGAGATTAAGTTCAAATTATATATTTTCATGTAGCTGTTTGGTTGTAGGTCATCAAAAAAAAAACAATTTGATCCAATACAGACAGGAAGGAAGGAAGGAAGGAAGGAAGGAGGGAGGGAAGGAAGGAAGGAAGAATAATACAAAGGGATCTGGTTTAACACTTTATTCTGTCTGTTACGCAGCATGTTGCCTATAGATTCACACGGTGTATTGTGATAGAAATTGTGGTCATACACATTCCATCAGATCTAATAATTAATGAAGGATTTACTAATGAAGAGTATAGGAGACATTAGGATACATGCATGATTTTCCAAAAAAGCAAATCATGATTAAAACAAAACATTACAGCAAAAAATGCCCATTCTGACTTTGTCAAGCTCCCAAAGACATTACAAACAAAGATTTGGGGTTCTGGAATGTAGACACAAGAAATGAATTTATAATGCAGCTAATTCTCCAGCAACAACATAACGATGTCAAAAATAATTTACATTACAGCGAAGTAACCCCGTTCTGATCCGGGGCACTTACATTTACTTACAAAAAAATATCACGTGTGCTGTTTTATGCAAGCCAGCTGAAGAACATGAACAAAGAACAATTTCCTTATATGGCAGAAGATATTCAAAATATCATACCCGTAAAAACCAGTTCTAAATGAGAATAAAAATTATGACAAAAAATAAAATAAAAACATTATTTTCAAAATAGGCAATATATTTAACATCAAAATAAATCTTTATTTCTCTGCATTACTTCATATGTATATATGTAGCCATACAGTAATAATAACCTGAAATTCTGGTGATCAGCTGTGATTAAGTGTAATCTGAGGTCGAACAATGTTGATATTGGTGTGGAAGTGCAAGTACTATTCCTTTAGTGATGCACTAAATTAAAGTGAAGGGGTGGTAGGAATCAGCCTTTCCATGTGTGAACTTTCTCAGGAAGTCACTAATAACTTCATCACTCAAATCCCTGGAATCACAGGGAACACATTCACATTATGGTGACCTAACTGCATGTTTCTGCACTGACGGGAGAAGCAGGCGAAGGCCATACCCTGAGAACTGTGGGTGGGATTCAAACCTCTAAGCCTGTGCTGTGAGCCCTCAGTGCTCCCCAATGCCCAACCATGCCATCTTATCATGCAGGAAATATTTTGGAAAATGAGTGACCCTTGGCCATCCAGGTACGATACTTATTAGTACTGATACATTTTCAGACATGGAATCCACTCAAAAGTCCTAAATGTAAAACATTCAGTTAATCTGAGTTCATTTAAATGTGAAATGGAGAACAAGCAAATGACACTTTAGCCACAGTGCCAAACCATTCTTTCTGTTTCCTTGCCTATATTGCGCTGTGTAAAACAGCCCTTTGGATATATGTGCAGGCATTTCATCTGCTTCCTTCAGTGTCCACCTCTTCTAGGTTCTTCTTCCTGTTGTTAAATGATATAATAGAGGAGGAATTAGGTTTTATGTGCAATAAATAATAAAATACAGTGTACAGGTATATTTAAAACACTGAGGATTTAACCAATTTGAGACAAGCACAGCAGATCAAGATTAGTCTTTTACCTTGTTACCCTAATATACAAATATGCTTAATCTCAATTTGGACAAATAACAGGGAACTTAATAGAAGTCTTAATACTTATGTGCTATTTTTGACCAATGGTTTGGAATTATATAGTACAATAGAAGAGTGACATTATTAGTTTTAAATGAGACAAAAATTATAACAACAAGTTCTCTTTTTGTTTTGCCCCATCTCACTTTCCATACAGGTGAGCTTGGAAATGCAGTGAAGGGTGACATGGGGGTTCAGAGCCTTACTCAAGGCCCCACAGACATGTGACTATTCTGCCAAGGCCAGGGCTCGAACCTGGGACCTCCTAATTACAGGCACAAAGGCTTAGCTTGATGAGCCATACACTGCCCCTAATGGTGTCCCTTCAAATCCTGTAAATTGTATTGAGAACACTTGAGCCCCTTTAAATACCTGTCAGAAAACAAAGTATCAGTCGGGTCTTGCTTCATACCTTCTACATCCCGATGCCCTCGTCTGCATCCTCCTTTTCCTGGAGCGGTGCTCCCTTCTTTACCCCTGTACTGTCATCTGTTTCTCCAGCTGTTTCTGGTTGTACTTCTTTGCATTCTTCCTGTATTTTTGGAGCCTCTGGAGCGCTGTCAGACATCTGCGGCTCAGGTGGGGTCTCTCCACTGGAAGTGCTGTCAGGTGGGGTCTCTCCACTGGAAGCGCTGTCAGACACCTGCGGCTCCGGTGGGGTCTCTCCACTGGAAGTGCTGTCAGGTGGGGTCTCTCCATCAGGTTTTATTGGCTCTGTAACATCTTCAGCTGCCTTACAGCCACACGTGCTGTCTGTCTCCACTTTGTTGTCTTTTATTAGACTCTCCTCCTTTTCCAGTTCTGACCTTCCATCGGGGAGAGCGGAGGGGGTGTTTTCTTGTTGTTCTTTCTTGGTGGCCGAGTCACTCTCCTGAAATACATCTTCCTCATCTCCATCGTGCAGGGAGCCGCTCGTAGCAGTCGATGTTGGGCCCGCTTCCTCTGTCCCCGATGGCTCCTCCCCCGATGACATTCTGGGCAGCCGCGTAGGTGGCCGTCGCTTAATGGAGTGCCGAGCTCTGCTCTTTGATTTTCAGTGAATAGTAAAACGGTCAGCACAGGACAGTCTTTACTTGTCTGTAAGCAATGATTTCAGGAAGCATAGTATATATTGCATGCTTATAATGAATCTAACCAAGATGCTTTCGCTATCGTAAGATTCACTCTGGACACTTCAGCCTACTCTCAATCTCTTTTATTGTTTCCTTGAGTTCTCCCTGTTCTTTGTACTCTCTTCATTTATAGGCCAGTTCATACTTCACTTTCGGGCTGTGGATGGTCGTTCGCGTGGCAGTGTAGTGAAATGGGTGAACTTTTATTAACAGGGTCAAAGTTATTAGTCTAGGCCTGGGTGAAATTACATTAATATAGCATACCGCTGTATTTTGAAATCCTTGTGACAAAATTAGCCAGGACCCCTGATTATTAAAATACCGTATACCTTGGTATAATGTCTGGACAGTTAGATATGCGGGTACCTCCTACCCTCCCCATTTAGCTGCTCACCATAACTACTACAATAGCAACAGCTATTCTTCCTCTACTCTTTCATCATTGACTGCTGATCTGAGAAAGTCGGTGCTGCCACCTACTGGAAGTACCTCATCAATTATCTTGACAAGATTCCCCATAGACATAGAAATCTGGGCTACATGTGCACCAACCACAGCCGTCCACAGCCAATTCCTGATGATGAAATTTGTCACTTACCCTTGTCTGCAAACAAAAACACTCGTAGAAAGGTGCCTTTTAGACTGTGTGCGATTAGCTTCTACCAGGGCAAATGAACTATGTCAGTCTTACCTTATTGATGCTGGGCAGGATGTTGCCCTCGGCAGGCTTCTCAAAGCTGGCAGGTACCTCCTCCTCACTAGGGCGGCGCTGGTGGGGTTGTGGTGGGGGACTAAGGGGACCGCATGGTGGGGTAAAAAAGGGAGCAGGATGCTTAACCCCAGGGCTCATTGGTGAGGGCAGCAGAGCCGTGGGGGACAGAACCAGATTGGCCTGATGAAGGTAGAGGGTCAAATGTCAGCGTGGTTCTCAAAATATAACAGAAAAACACCTAATACTCAAAGAAAAAAAAACTATACAGCTTCTTTTTTTTAAAAAAAATTGCAGACAATAAACAAGTGTTTCCATGTAACTCTGGGAATTATTTTGATGAACATAAACAAATATAATAAATATGATGCTTAAACAGCAGTAGCTACTACAGTACACCTATATGTAGTCTGAGACCACACTGAAAACCTGGGAATGTTTTCATTTAATCCCAGAAATGAAGTTCCAAGATTACTGGAAAAAAGTTCTATTTAATGGTGAATCCAAGTTTGAGATTTTAGGGCAGTAACAGAACGGCTTAAGTAAAGAGATGAACAGAGGAGCAACTGATACCATAGAGTATGAAAACAACAGTGAAATGTGGTGGTGGGACTATTCAGGATGTTTTCCTTACTCTGTAGTTCAATATCTGCACCGAATCGACTACAGCCTGACAACAGAAAAGTACGATTCCATTTTTAGAGACAAGAGCACTGACTACCGCGGACTTTTCTCCAGTCACCTGACCTCAACCCCACTGAACATTCATTGGGGCACTTTAAGACCAAGACAGCCAAGCGTCAACATCACAAGACGATCTTTGGAACATTCATCAATGAATGATGAACGTTCAATGAATCATTATACTGGGACATAACATGGCTCATCAGGTTTTGCACAAGATTGTGGAGTCAGTTCAGCCAGCTGAAATGAATGGGTGCACAAGAAATCCTGAAGTTCAAATTTTCACCCAAGTTGTCATGCTGACAATATAAGTGGTAATGTGACAAAACAGGCATTTTTTCTCTGACATTGCAATATATATATATATATATATATATATATATACACACACACAACTTTAAGAGTCATAGACAAAATTAAAAAATATAAACTACTTCTAATAAGAAGAACATATGAGGAGAAATGCTCCTAACTAAATTTCTACAAGATTATTGCCTGAGTTTGGTTAAAAACAATGCATTGAGAAAACCTGAAAAGAATAGGCAATGTGTCTGAATAGCGGATTGTCTTGCTATTTTTAAAAACAGTTAAAATGCCAAAAAAGGAACAATGAAAAGGTTCATTCAGGCTTAACCAATCAGGGGCATCTGCAACCACAGTGCAGACAGAGTACAGACTACTGTGAAAGACCTCTTCTGGCTGCCCAGGAACTTCCAGTGCTTTCTGTTATCTTTTTAACTTGATAATCTGAACCAGACTGTCCCTAAAACATTTGAGGACAGCCTCTTTCCACTCACATCATTAATAGATTAAACTGCAAGTTGTGGCATCGTTGTGTTGTGGCCACCATCACCCACTAGAGGGCACTGCCACTCCATAGAATGTTTATCCATTATAGTCCATCAAACTGGTTCTATCAATATTTGGATAAATTAAATTTGTAAGACTCCATACCATGAAATATTGAGAGCTACTCAAAAGGTCTCACTTACCTGCAGCTTCTCAATAAGTGGGGAGCTCGTAGACTTCACCTTAGGAGGCTGTGATGAAGCCGCAGCCTGCTTCTGTAATAAATTTGAGAATCAGATTATCAACTCCAAGAGGATCATAATGACTTCAGAAATGAATTTTTTTATGTAAATATTAGTTTATGTTTATCTAAATATTCTTCTTTCATAACTCACAGGAAATCTTATCGAAACTCTGCAAATATGAATAAATGTGCTGTAAACATTACATAATGACACTCCACGTTAATTTATATACGTACCGTAAAAGCATTTAGCTAACAGGAGGAAAACTGTTTTATAGGCTTTTGATACTCTGCTTTCTTTTGCTTTCTATTGCCATGGTGTGCTATTGAGCATTTGTCTTTGAAGAATATTGATTAATGGTTAGTAAGGCTCCAGCAACAAGAGACTTTCCTAAGAAGTGCAAACGACAGACATTCACTATGAATAGACCTCTGACCTCCTGTTTGTCCTGCTCCTCATCATTTTTCATTTGCAGCTTCAAAGAGCATGGTGGCTTTCTACGAATATTCTTGCTCTGAAATGAAAAGATACAATTACATGACTACATAGACACGATAACGATGTAATTGTAATTAATTGTAATGATGTAATTATACAGGTTGTATTTTTAAGCTATTGCACAGAAAACCACTATTGAAAAGTTACTGAAACAGCCAAAGCAGAATTTTACTTCCTTTAATTTCCAGGAATATAAATCACCTATAATCAGTAATCAGATTACTGTATCAATAATTGAAATGTTCCACCAAAAACACCAAAGTTTTTCATATTTATGTTACAATTCCATTTAAAATTGTACATATGTTTGTGTGTGCCACGCATTATCAATAAAAGAAGATGCTCCATTTTCGAGTTTGGATTAATAAAGTTTTAAGCTGTTTTACAAACAACCTACAACTTAAATTACAAACTAAATTAAAAACTAAAATAGTTTTTTCCACATTGTTAAATTTTGCATACAAATCTCTGCATCACTGCACTGCAGCATAGCAAAAGAAATATGACACATCAGAAGAAAACAAACTTCATAAGAAATAAAAGTTTGTTTTCAAGCAACAGTGCCAAAATACTGCTCAAACGCCGTGCTGAGTGAAGGTGCAGCATTAGGATGCATTTTGGGGGAGCTGTTTCACAATTCAAACCAGAAGTGTGATATTCCTTGGTTTCAGTTTTGCAAAAGGAACTGAAACAAACTGGGAAAGAAGACACAAATGATGGAAAGAATCTCACCACTTCGGTTCTATCAGATGTTTGTAGATTTTGGACCTTGAATTTTTCTGCCAACTTCGACACGGAATGTTGTGCAAAAGTACTTTTCTAAACCAAAAAAGAAAAACAGAAATGAGTTATATTCTTTCAGTATTTTGAGTGTACAACAATGGCATTCTTACATACAAACACATATATGTAAAAAATAAATTACATTAATTCCCATTGTAGCTATCAATGAGCTTTTGGCCGCCCAGGGCACCCTTCCATAGCAGGCCACCCTACTATGCGACAAGTCATTTGGTGTGACATTCTGTGGTACACAAAAAAATAATACTGCATTTCACTGTTAACATTTTTTTTTTTTTTTAAGAAAAATTCTCAGGTTTGTGAGAATGACCCATATTTTAATATTTATTTAATGGTTTAACTTCTGATTATTCATTTCAAACAAAAATATTACATACAAAAACTTGACGCACAGATGGCAATAAGACAAGAGATGGTATCGTGTTATGAAGTAGGGATGTTCAGCGATTTTTTTGATCGCACACCTTGGCGATTGATGATGCATACCACGCAGATACTCAACAAGTGGATCAACATTATTCTCACTGCGTGATCGATCTAAAATCTAAAAGCTATTTGCAGAAGTGGAAAGTTCAGGTTCAGAAAGTACAAATACAGACCCAGATTTTGTTACAATCAACCAGTAGAGTATAAAGTGTGAATCTCAGTACCAAGAACGCAAAGACCGTTCTTGTGGTCTTGGCAAGACTGGACTTGCTAAGTTGCCTCCCAAGAATGAACTTGGGGCACAATGAATCATGGGATTGGTCTCATTGGGCGGGAATGCAACTGATGCATCCTTGATATTTGGAGTGGAGCAAGACCAGCATTCTGAGATTTTTACCTTCCTTTGTACTTGTGTTGTTAGTATTGGAACTGGTCTTCTGCAAAGGTGAAGTAAAACGGGTACATGAGAACACAAGTACGGTCAAGTATGCATATTGAGATTCATCCCAAAAGTTACATTCACAGAGTACTCAACTGGTTGCTTGGTTGGAACAAAATCTTGGTTTGTATTTGTAATATCTGAACATGAACTTTCCAACTTTGCCTATGTGGCAAATAGCTCTACAAACAGAAGCCTGACAACCACTGAAAGTGCCTTTAGTGACATTAAAGCCATTTTAGATGCCATTTTTAGGCATAAGCCTTCAATAAAAATAAAAGAAATACTGCAAATTATGATATTTTTTTTCCTACGTATGTGTCCGTCTGGCAATTTTTTAAAAGCAAAATAATCCAGTTAACATCAACTTCCATGTGAGAAGCTAAACTGAATGCTTATATATTTATATGAAAACAAAAGTGATTAATGAAACATTTAAGACAGCGAGCAAACCTATATGGCAGAAGCAGAACCCCAAACACAGATGGCATAATGACATTCTCCTCTCTCATGGATACTGCCCTATTTATATACACACACCATTGCACCTATTAAGCATTTTAAACTGGCACGGATTAACTCATTAATTTTAATTTAGGAAGATGGAAACAATCAACATGAACACACATCAGTTATTCAACTATAAAGGCTGCAGAATGACTGTCTGAGGGATGCCTTTAGAATACAAACTTAATATTCATCATTTCAAGCCCAGTTAGACGAAAACATGTCCACAACTATCCAGTGGCAAGATTCACACAAATAGAAGTCAATTAGTCAGTCAATCAAATTCAGTTTGTCTTGTTTATGTCATTGTATTATAATTTCTATCAACACATAGCTAGTTCTTTATTTTAGTATATTACTTATTATTTATTACTTGTATATTACTTATGTTGTGATAATCATTGGTGTAATATACAGTATTATATACACTCCCATAAAATTAACTAATATTGAAAAGACCTTACTGACAGGTCACGTGTTGACATTTATAGATTATTCATCTGCATTATAACCTTATGCAGACCAGGGAGCTGAAATCAAAGTTCTTAATCTCTTTGTTGGTTATGCAGTTTCCATAAAGACATTGTTATTTCCTTGTCACTAAAGTGTGCGTTAGGTGTGTGCCTAAAGAATGACTGTCTAGACTTTATTCATATTTCTTAATGAATTTCTACACCTTAGCTGTATTTCTTAAATTTAATTTTATCATATGCCTGCCATTGGCAGTCATATTTCATTTTTTAATGGCAAATCTCTTAAATTGTCTGCTGAGATTGAAAATTAAGTAGTCATTATACAAAATAATTTGACACGGCAAGTGGATACTATCAAATAACTTTATAACGATTAATTGAATGAGAAGCACATTGATTCCGTTTTAAATGGAATTAATTCTGTTGAGCTTTGTAAAAACTAGGTGGAAATTATATAAAAGGAGTTTATTTCTGGGTATTTTCTATCCATTCATCCATTCCAGAACTATTTGTGATTGTGTGAAGCCACTGGAATTTCACAGAAAAAATGTAAATTCTTACACACATTCAGTTTTGCAGAAGTTTATTTTGCTTGTTATGTAAGCCTTGTGTTTAATAGAACCTAACAATTGTATTGTACTCGATCCATCCCTTTATCTTCCATCTGCTCACGCTGAGCATGATCACACTTCCGGGACTGCAGCATACTATTTATTTGTTAAGCTTATTTTTGGTGAGAAAAGTTCAGGAAAAATAAAATGCTATTTTTTAAATTTAGGAAACACTGGCATCCCAGTGATAGAAATAATTTGAAAACGATCGTTACTCCAATGTGAAATTCTTTGCATAACCATTCTGCATACAGCAAAAGACAAATTCTTTTGTTTTCAGTTTTTTTTCATATAAACTTGTTAATTGCATTGAGCTGTTAAGAAAGAATATCTTTCAATCATACTGTTACCCACTGCTGTTTTCATGGCTCCAACACTCATCCACTCCAACAACAGGCCTTTATCGATTATGTCATTTATAAATTATATGAGACAGTAGCTTCCTTTCCCTGTATGATTTACCCTTTTCTGAAGTTAACATCTATCTATTTTCTGAAATCACTGATCCTGTTCAGGGTGAACAACCCAGAACTCAGGGCACACTCACGTATAGGCAATTTGGCAACCCAATTAGCCTCAGCATGTTTCTGGACTGTGTGTGGGGGCGATGGGACTACAGTACCCAGAGGAAACCCCACAATGACATGGGGGGGGGGGACAAGCAAACCCCACACACACGGAGCTGTGGCAGAAGCTCGAACCCAGGTTCCAGAGGTGTGAGGCGACAGTGCTAACCACTGCATCACCATATCACCTGGAAGTTGACATACACTGTCATTTCTCGTTCATTTTTTTAATTCTGGAAGATAAGAAAGTATTTCAGACTAAGTCTAAGACTGAAAACAACAAAAGGAAAGCTACAGTGTAAAGCTTTGAGCTCTATTTTGTGTTTTTGTCTATTCTATGTAATTCCTTGCAATTATGTTTTCTATGCATCTAGTAAATAGTGTGGGAGCTCCACTAAACAGGGTACAGCGTGGATACTGTGTATCTATTGGTTTGGATGTGATTCATCAGACTACTGCCCTACAAAATTCTGAATACATTTTAAACACAGCAAATAAGACTTAAGGTATATCAAAAGACTCCATACACTGTGTTCCAAACGTCCAGAATACTTAAACCATTTTAATTTGCTAAAACAATGCAGGTTCTTTCCTCTTAAAAATTAAACCGCACATTAAAATGCATTTGTCTGTTAAAAACACTGTTCTTACAGTGTGATTAGCAGCTGTTGCCTGTCACATAGTAAAGAATATTATTTCTGTAGAGTGAAAATATGCTTGCTATCCTCTCCAACATTCTGTCATTTTGTCAAAAAGGAGATGACAAAACATGAATGGCAGTTCCTATTCTTTCCATGGTTTTCATCAACCAATTCTTATTTATATCTCTTCAGTTGTCAACCAGTGCTCATATTCTGTATGTTCACTTTATATTTCAGAATATTGTGTGGTGCTAGCAATTAAAAATTACCATAATTCTCAGTCTTTCCATCTAATCTGGCTAATATTCGGTTTAGGTTTTTCCCTTCTTAGTTCAAAATAAACGTATCTGTTTCCCTCTGCTTGGTTTTGCTATGGTGCCATACTCTATACTCTATACTCATACTCTATACTCTATACTCTATTCACATGACATGTTCATAGTTCTTTTGTTGCAGTAATTTTCATCACTTTAGTTCCAACACTGTGATACATCTAAATCTATTAAATACATCCATCTACCATTTGAACCGCTTATTCTGAACAGGGCCTGAAGCACATATACTCTGCTAGCAATGGGGACTGTATTGTGTGTAGGAGAGTTACTCAACATGAGAACATGCAGACTGCACATACATAACAGAGGTGGGATTCAAATCCCAACCCTAGATGTATGAGGCAACAGTGCTATCCATCACCATGGCACCCAGCACAAAACACGAAATAATAACTTAAATAATCTGCTATATTCCCAAAGCTCACTTAACCCTCCAAATGGTGCCAGATAATAAACTAGGGAAACACAAATATATCTACTAGTACAATGAATCCGTACATACATAACACAAGAAATCTAAAATACAATCAATAAAATACTGCACAAATACAATTATTAAACCTTTTTCATTTAGGCATAAATAGGAATATCAAGCTAAATAGGAACATCAGAAAAGAGCTGCTTGCATGGTTTCATGTAATATCCTGCATGCATATCAATTTGTAATCCAGCTTACAGTGAATAAGCGGGTACAGATGATAGATGGAGGTCTTTTAGATCTATTTTACTTTCATTTGAATTCATTTAGGAAGAAAAAAAAAAACATTTAATATATTCTTTAGAACTTACACGTCAAATAAATGTTAATGAAGCCAAATAATCTGCATGATTATGGAGGACTTTTACCAACCAGGGCAGACTTGCAGGGGTCTAAACCTTCTTGCTCAGGTCATACTAGGCCAATCAAGTCCTCTCACGAAACAAAAAGCAGAAATCTACTATGAGAAAGACCATCTGAGATCTGTGCAAAGCAAGCCAAGCTGACAGGGTTCTTGTGGGTCCAAAACATCCTCGTCTTCC